TATTCTTGAGTTAGTGGCAAACTACTTGAGCACTTATTTGCTTATGTCATTACATAGGTCAGGGTTATTTATTGGAAGGTGTTCAGTATAACGCATTTATTTACGCACAAAACCACATCAATTCCTACAATTTTGTGTGGACATAAACCTGCCAGGTTCCAATGTATGATGACGGATTTTATCTTGCTAAATATCCTAGAAATATTTTGGATTTAGAATTAATGGCGTCCCGCGGAAACTGTCGAAATTGAATATTTAGGATTTGCTTGCCATTTAACTTTTCGTCTCCATCATGGTTACTTCCGTTGTGTTAATAATCACCGCTGCGGAAACACTTTTTGATGATACAACGAAGTACATTCCTCGGCGCAAAATCGCACAAAAACTGGGGCCTATTTCGTGGGTACTTCGCTTTTTCACAATTCTGGTGAAGAGCACAACTGAAGTTGTTCAGACAGGAAAATTTTCGGCAAAATTTTTCGCTGCTCAAAATGGCATCGGCAGTAAGCTAACACGAGACAGATTTTTGGTTGAGGCCGTCATTAAAGCCAATATGATCGTAACTCAGTTTATTTTTTACACAACGCGGCTACATATGAAGGGAAGTGAAGTTGGCTAATTAATGAAACAAACACGTACTAACCTGACGTGGATCCTGTTCGAGGCTTCAAAATTATAAAACGCAAGCATACGCTTCCTGTGAATTGATTTTGACAAAAAAACGCGTGGAATATGGTCTCTATTCACCGACTACAAGACAATAATGACCTCGAGTTTGTCTGTTGGAGTGATCGGTGTTGGGGACAGAGGATGGGGATATGAATCAAGTAAAGGGATCTTAGAGGCTGTAAAGCCAGAGTCGTGGCTGCACGATAGAAGGAAGCAGGTGGGTGCAAATTCTTAGATGGCTGGCCATTTCTCAAAGACTTTGTAGTGGGCCTCGGTTCGGTTTCGGAAACCGCCCCAGGGCCAACAATATGCGTGACACGACCCGACAAAACGAAGGGTAAAAAATACACATGGCGAGTCGCTTAACTAATTTATTAAAGCGGTAGCTAGGGTGTGTGTACAATAGCGCAAGTTAGTTTATATAGGATTGGCTAAATATGGATCTCTGAACGAACGCAGTTACGCGAGTCAAGTTCACGTAAATCAATTGAATCATATTCGCTCACACTTGTTACTAGGGTTAGCTCACGATTGCTGTGTTTGCTTTCTGCTCGCCACAGCTTAAAGAATTTATTTAAAAACAATGTTCCAAGGAAAAAACATAGGCAATCTTAACAAGTAGAAAAAAATTGCCGAGATGATGGGTTGCTAAAAGCCGAAATAATTCAACCACTAGCAATCCTATGAAAAGTGAGCGTATCGGAGAAATTCACTACGCCAAAGTGATGTAAATGTAATAAGATTTGTTTTACTTTAGATGTGATTCTAATTGAAACGGTCGCGTACACACCTTGAACAAATCAACATTAAGTCTGCAAGCATGTGAGATTGATATACAGTCTGAAAAGTACAGCTCAAACGGCGAAGGAAATTTTGCCAGATTCTGCCGAAAGCGAATTGAAGCCTGCGAAATATTGGTAGACCAATCATAGTTAACGTTTCACTTTGGCACAAAGCAATAAAACTAAGCACTACAAAAAAGCATGTTTAGTGGGAGATTTAAAGAGACTGCTATTTTTAATGAGGTTACATTCCGAAGATGTTGCGCTCTTTTAAAAGCATACGTTACTTTGTAATACCAAAAATTCGAAACCCGAATAAAGGCAAGTTATTTTCCCATAAATTGAACTGAAAATCACTGACTTTGGGAAAAATTTAACTTTATATATCAAACATGATTCAGAAAACCAAGGCCCTGATTAATGTTAAGCATTGAAAAAGAGGCATTTCATATTCAGTAAAAAATGTAAAGTGAACATACAAGTTGTTCTTCTGCGGAAACTCATAACCAGATATTTTGCATTTATACTCTGTCCATAATTTGCGTTATAAACTGCAAAATCTGGTCAGTGCTATCCAAGCAGAAATGCTATTGTTGGATCAACATGTAGGAGGAGGACAGACCTGGTTAACAGGACACTGAAAGCTAACCAGAACGCCTTGAAGGTGGCCCGCCGAGGCGGACAGATATAAAGTGACCTCGGCGTGTGACACGTGGCACGCGCACATTGTCCAGTGCGAACCTAGCGAAATGCCGATTGGCTAAAGCGAAGGGTGGCGATAAGGGACTGCCACTTGCCTATAACTCGCAATCCTAAAGGTTTAACACCTTCATCATTCAAGACAGATGAATTTGCTCACATGTAAAAGTGGCTCGCACATTCAAATCACTTGAGCCTCACGGATCGCATTCGCGAAAGCACAATAATGAAACCACGAAATTTCCCTAATGAAACATGCATGCCAGATTTCCATTAGAAACTCTTTATTTGTAAAAAAAATTAATTTAAACAGAACGACCGTGGGCAAATTGCGGGAGTTCAGATAGAGGTGGATTTGCATACATTATTTTCAAGCAGTGAACATTAAGGCAGTATTCAAAACTCCTACTTGCAAGTCATTCCAAACAAATGGGTTCCTTTTCGATATTGAATGCAAGCTTTACATATTCTAACGCAATTGTCGACGTCTTGCTAAAACTGTGTAAGAGTTTGATTACGAAAAAATGTGAGCTACAAGTCGCATGAGTGAAACGTTTGAGTACACCTGAAAAGGGAACACGAAATATTCGTTGGGAGAACTGGTGGCTGACGCAATTCCCAAGTAGAAAGCCCCAAGACTAACGGACCACACTAGAACAACTTCAGGAACTTGAAACCAATGTTAAAAATTCTCTTCTACAAGCAAATTACAGAACTGGTGATGAACCTGCTAAACGGCATCGACAATTACTGGACGGCAAGACTGAAAACTACTTTTATACCTCCAGGCTATTATTGACGAGATCTTTTTTTCAAAGACGATGGCGAGTTTGGAAGTGTTTCGCACGATTATAAAGCTTTATATTACAAAATGGTTACATCGTGTACGATAAAAATCCAGCGTAGAGTTGTCTAATCCGTCGTGTTTGTTTTTGATGAAGCATGGGATTTACGGAGGCTATTGAGCTTAGTAAGAGTGAACCCATTACTGACCATAAGCTAAATATTAGGCACAGTTAGTACCGTTGGCGACTGACTACTCCGACAATGCACCATCCGCGTACACTTGCTATTTCTCTGTGGAAAGTGAAGAACGGAAATTCTGCCTTTTGAGGCCCCAACCGCAGATGAATGTCAGGAATCTACTGCCAACCACACCACTTGAGTACCACCCGAGAACTAAAGACAACTACAGTGCTTCAAGGCACGCTACCTGCGATGCGTCCGACCTTAAACCTGTCATCAACGTCTTTCTAGCTTACCTGAAAGAAAAACGCGATGTTGTTGTTTAATTTACATCAGTCCTATCAGCGTGCAATTGCGATTTGACACGAAAAACGCTAAATCGACCACAATTAGCACTATTAAGAAGGATCAATACCAGTTATTTCAATTTGTCGGTGGGCTTTGACAAAACGCCGCAGAGATATAGTTTGTATCTCACTTGAATTCGTATATTACTCATGGCATTAGAAGCGGTAACACCAACACGACCAAAATCATTTAGACAGGATATTCAACAAAATACATGTACTCTTGTCTTTCACAGGTACATAATTGGCGTTCAGAATTGTCGCGTTGAAACACCTTACGTGATGGGAACGACATGAAACCTAAAAAACAGTAACAAGATTGCGAGTAAGTGGAAAAGATAGGTAAAATTACATCAAAAGTTACAAAGCCGCAATGTAATAAGTCTACGATTAAATTTGCCACAAGGCTGCCAAAAAGCAACTAGAACTAAGCGAAATGAAGTGACCATTTTCTATGCGCTAGCTTAGTATACTGTGTTATAGAATAATTGCCAGGCTGGACGAATTGCTAGCCACAAAGCTGACAAATTTCGGGAGCATTCGAAGGAGTTTAGAGACAACCTATCGATGTGCTGTCACAGTACCGTTGCATAGGCTGAATTCGGAGAAATGGTGCTAAAGGAACGCCTGGAATCCAGCAACTTCTAATTGCTTGGGGAATGTCCAGTGTTGTCGAGGTCAAAAGGAGGCAGTGAAACTTGCTCTAGGACTCCTCCTATGACTCGAATTTGTTGCGTTTGCAAAGCGAAATTTCGTGGCCTTCTGGTATGGGACCCAACTAAGGCGAACTTCGGACCAGCAGACATACGCTTATGCGACGCAGAATTGCAGATACATGCAAGCCAACCCGGAAAAATATGAAACCACAGCTCCCCATCTCGACAGACTTTTAAGTCGTAAACAGGCAAAAACAAAAAACCCGCAGAAAGGAGAGAGCTAATTCGGTTTCAAGCATCTTACCCCAGGTTTTTCGAGCCCTCGGGCTTAAACAGGTTTATCTGATGGACTGATACTGAGTCGTCGCACGACCTCAAGACAGTCACTGGAATGGGAACCTAAAATGGCGTACAAAGCACAGATTAGAGCAAGGGCAGGTTGTCATCGGTATTAAAACTGTAAGTACAGACTAAAATATGCGTTTTATTAACAAAAATAATCAACACACTTCAAACCTTACGTGTGCTACATATATCATGGTGGATGGTATTTGTCTTGCAGAGAATAGTTGAATTCCTAGAACATCCCTCTCCATGCCTAGAACACGGAGCAGTCCGAAATTCGTGGGCTCATTTTTGACTTAACTGACCTGATCTGCCAAAATAACCAGTTGGCAAACCATGCCCAATACTCACCTAGCACCGAGTAATTTGAGCTTGTGTGGATTACACGTGTAGGGTGCTGTTTAACGAACAGAAAGTAACCTCGAGTAAATTCGCGATCATTATGATATAGAAAAGTGGCGACTTTAATGTATACCTTCTCCTCAGTGGTTTTAACCACCTCCGCGATGCTTGACAAGCCTGAGAAATTGGTTGAGTGAACTGAACCGAATCGAGCAATTCGATCTCCAGCACGGATGCCCTTGAAAGTGTAAAATACTTTAAAACCCCAATCCAACTACTACGTAAGGATATTAATGAAGGTTAACATATGCACTAGTCGGTCCATGCCCCGTTGATCACAAGGTGGATGTAACCGGTATAGGTCAAACAGCACCCAGAAATCGCTTAAGCCAGGATCTATGGGTGCACAAGCGGGTGTAAGCCTGTATTGCGATCTAGCCAGCGCGTCAGAGACTTTGTAGACGTGTGCTTGTTGGGCTTCTGTAGAAAAAGTGAAACTACCAGCAATGGAGAGTCCTACTACATCAATTTACCGGTGGTTTCGGTGTAAAAAGGCAAATATTTTACCATCAAGGTGGATTAAAATCAGAAGTATGTGAAGAAGACGTTGTCAAGGTACAATTGGGTAGTGTTTCGCATGAAACTCGATGGAGGTCGCGGGTTCGGACGTAATGGAGGACAAGGACGGTAGATAAAGCGAAATCCCACAGTAGTCATTTTGTCATTAAAGAAGTATTAAAGGGATCCAACAGCAAACCCCAAAGTGTCCTGTGACCCACAAATTACTAGGCACGCGCGCACGCTTGCACAAGGCGGGGTTACGACTGGCGCCCCTCAATTCGGTGGATGGAGGGTGGGAGGGTACCGAAGCAAACACACTCTCGCGTCTGTTGGCACGCCAGTCTGCACTGAAACAGCATATAAATCAGATGGGGAAGCGCAAACATGCATGTAAATTCCTCTCCAACGGGTGGCAATGAACAGACGGTCTGGGTAGTGCTGGCACTTGGGTGTTACCCCCTCCAAATTCGCATCACTTTCTTAACTTGACCTGCGTAACATCCAACCAAGAAAATAAAACGACGATATTACCAATTAAAAGCACCGGCAAAACTCGCCCCATTTCAACCTATGTGCCCTACGTCCGGTGCACCAGAAATTTAGGTGCCAAACGATTATACTTCAACACAGGAAACCCAGGAGTGAAACACGCAAGTACGCATTCGTTAAGCACCTTGTCTAAGTGAGAAAAACGCGATTTCTCTATAATGCGTACTGAATAAGTACACACTTGCTTGATAAATCGCTGAAGCGTGGAGTTATGAAGTAAATACAATTGCCTGGAGTCCTGTTATGCCAACTTGCATAACTACCAAGGTTAATATGAGACCAAACTGTAAGAATGAAGGCTCAGAGGAAGCAAAGTGCCCTGAATATTCTAACATGCCTTGCCTAAAGGAAGGCGTGATGGCTCGGTTCATGAAAGCTGAGGAGCAAATGTTAGTGTTGGAGCGGCAGTCGAGAAAGAGAACTATAAACGGCCGGCCGTCTATGGTATTTAGCAACTTACAGAAAGTTCAGCAGGAGATAGCCTGGCCACATGATCGACAAGCAAAAATGGAGTGGTGTAGCGATCGGCTGGTGACTGGGTGCAATCTACAGACGATAAAGGACCAACACTACTAACTCTGTGTCTGTTTTCATGAAGACGCGCCGTCACAGCTTCCAATTCTTTCATTAATTCAGCGTAGTCCGTGTTAATACCTTAAATATTAACAAACGCCACAATTAAGCTAAAATTATCAGGCCAGTTCTAGGACAAATGCACGACCTCGAGCGCGCAAGCGTAAAAAAACAAAGGAATCAGAAACGTGAGGCGCTTTTCGACACAGGTGTCCCTTAATCGTTGGACCGAAGGTCGCTAGGGCTGAAGGCCTAGAAGGTCTGTTTGGTCCTGAGCATTCAATCCAATAAACGGTGACAGTGACAGCGTGGTAGTGAAGCTAATTGGAAGTAGATAATAATCAAATTTAGTGACCAATGAAGATGGGGATGTCTGGCGCAAGTGTCCTGAAACCCAAAGATGGTTGACAAGAGGCCAGTTTACACAAAATATCGAATTTTCTGGCAGCAAAACCAGAAACAATACCTACGCCGATTAAAAATCCCCCAAAAACGCTAAAAATGCAATTAAATGTACAAGTTGGAAAGATGTTCGTCAAGAGAAAAAATGTGACATACAAGAAATACGATTGATAGACATCTTTTCTTGTAAAATACTAGTTTTAAGGTGTTTTAATTTCTATCGACGACGCAAGAGATAGCAAATGAGATAGCATGAAATACGGGGACAATGGGCATAGGACAGATTGCAGCAGTACATTCGAAGGCGCAAATTCTCCCGTCACTCTCCGGAAATAATAACTACCAGAGAAGTGTGAAGGATTTTCAGTAAAAAATTGGAAATAGAATCGATTTTTGCCTAAATAAGTAATCTCGGGTGGCTTTTTTAGTCTGATACGAAGATAGGCATGCAGTGAGGGTGCTGAAGAGTTACTTACAAGCAATGCGGTTGCGGGCGGTCCTCACTGCGACAAGGTCGATGTCACTTCGAGGAAAGCCCTCAGAGTCAATCAGTGGCCCTCGCATGCCCACATTGTCATTCTGCAAAACAAAAACATACGGCCTCCATTTAGTCTGATTATTCTAAAGTAAATTGCGGATAGAGCTCGAGTGCGCGAAATTAATAACAGGTTATGCACTGATCATAACAAAAACCGTTGGTCAGCAAATTCAAGCTAAGAGATCTGCATAAGCTCACTCTTTGAAAGAAGTCAAAGCTGCAGCACAGCTGACCTTTGACATTTTAACACATCAAACACCTGCGCAATGACAAATTTATAATGGATAGCTCAATACCTCTACATAATTGACATTGGTCTTGCAGCAATAAATGACCGTTTATTAAAATTATTGCATTTCAAAAATTGTTCTCACATAAATTTTATCCCCCCTCCCCCACGAGATGAAATCTAGTCGGGTTCATATGATGCATTTTGATGAAGTTAATGATCAGAGATGATAAGCATTTTTGTTGCATCAATAATTGGTAAAACCTAATCTAGGTGATGGTGACTTGAAAGTGGAGAAAATTACTCCTAATGATTTCCGGCCCGTGCTTTTAAGTTGGGCCTCCCTGTGGTCATTATAATGAAACGATTTATTTGAATCAGGTTTAAAAGAAGGTCCTAGAAAGATTAGTGCGTTAGGTTATCATCTTAACTTGGTGTGGTCGGCCAAATGACCGTGGATAGGGTGGCCACGGGTTGTCGGACGGACTTGGGACGCCAGGACACTCATCACGGCATGTTGAGAAGGCGCACTTGTCGTTTTGGACGCACGCGCTCCGACTCAAGGTGCACACTAAGTGGGTAATGCGAGCGCACACACAGGATGCACTTCGCTCGTCGCATTGCGTTGCGCTCACCACCCACGCACCAAGGACCGACAGGCCAGAAAACGGACACTGCTGTGTGCTGGCGTTAATAGCGAGCCAAAAAAGAAGTAGCCACCCTTCCACTTGATAAACACTTCTGATCTGCGGGGCTATTTGTACGAAGCCAACAAAGTGAATCTCAAACAACAACTAGTGCTAAATCTTGCACTGTAGATTGGCTTCGAGGCAGAGCCCAGGGTATGACTTGGGAAGCTCGAAATACATTGAGTGGTAGCCACCTGATAGCCACCTAGGAAACACAAAGTAAAAAGTCTGCTGTAGTGTGGTAATTCTTTGCATTGAGGCTCAGCAACAACCAGAGCACAAAAAGGACTCGCTTGAGACCTCACAACTGGTGTCCAATGAAACTTGACGTAAAGCTGCGTTCCCAAAAAGACGAACGTGACTCACATTTTCCAAAATGGAAGAAAACTCAGCAGCTTCTTTCTCAAGTATTTTTCGCTTTTGTTCCAATTCCTGAAATCGCAACATGTCTCTTGAGCTGTCTGCCATCCCAGCGTCCACTTACTTGCTTGCTATGGATTAAATAACAAATAGTGGTTAAAAAATACCCCTTTGTCGTCGTAAGGTTTTAGGAATCAAGTAATTTCGTAATTTGTCATGATGTGAAATTCGATCAGCAATTCTGATTCCTTAATCATGCATCAATTCAACGTATTTAAGCGATAGTTTGGTCTCCAATAACACTCCTTTTTGGGAGACTGGGATTTATGTGAAAATACGTGACTTGATACTACGAAATGGTTCCGTGACTGCTTCCATGCCAAAAATCCATGGAAAACAATGAAAAAGTGCAAATTCATGAACAAGTGGTCTGTCCATATGATCTGGACCACTTTTTCCACGGGTGCATTGAGACCAATGAAAAATTTTTACCCACTCCGTCTAACTATACAAACTAATTCACTTGATTTGAGTTTCCTGATCCACGTGTTGCTGAAAACCCACCCGATCTTACAATAACATCACCTAACGTTGGATTGACCATTACTGACATACGCTTAAGTGACATGCGTGAAACGAGACATGACTGAACTGATTCAATATCCAGAAGCCCAGTACTTCGATTACTCTAACGCGTGGTAGACCTAACATGCCATGTGGGACATGCATCGCTTGACGAACTAGATTTCCATCACATCTGACCAAATCCAGTGATTACCCTCTCAATATTATCCAGCGATTCCGTTCTCAACTACCCCACTCAAGCCTGAGCCTCGGTATTAAACAATTAACAGATATCAGTTGATTACCGCAATGAGAAAAGCAAGTCGAACATTCAAATCGATGTGGAGTAGCCAAAAATATTGGCTGCATAAAAACAGTGATGGGATGAAAATATTACGCAAATAGACATTTCCTGAAAAACCTCGACCAGTCAAAATGCAATCAGCAAATACAGCGAATCACATCAGGCAATGATAAGAGACATTCAAAAAATTGTTCAACGCCTGATATACTTAAAGTGCATTTATTTTTATTCACAAAACAGGACTTTGAGTGACTTAAAAATTTGGGAATATGTGAGCAAGAGAGCTGAGACCAGTGCAGATTGTCGATTTATCTGGAGCACCAGCAAGAGGCTCCAATTCACCGGCAATGGCTACCAGTGGAATAAGACAGGTTAGCAGGCCGTCAAGAAGCGTTGATGTAACCTCCTCCATTGCGACAGGACCCTAAGGATGGATTCAATACAATTAGTTACTTATAAAACATACGTAGAAATTCATATTTTGATTTTCAAAAATGACAAAAATGCTGAGTAGTGTTTCCTTAAAAATGTCTTTTTAAGCACCGCACAGAGATTGCACCTTAATGGAATACAGAAGTTACGGCAAGGCCCAGGTACGGAAAAGATCAAAGTATTACCACACAAGCATTAACTTTCAATCGTATTAAACGAATGGTTGTGTGGGCAGACGTCTGTTAAAATAAAATTTATTCGTCCGACATACTCGTGGGGGAATGTGCCAATCCAAATGTAGTGGCCTTAATGGCGCTGCAATTGAGTTCATTTAAAAGTCCTATATGACGCACCCTTTAGGAAAACTAAATTGAGCTTAGCAAATTTCTGTCGAATCTGATTGTGGAGGGATTGATTCTCACCAACCACCTCACTTTCAGTTCCCAGTTTTTATAAGTGCCTCCCAAATGAATACGTATCGTGTTGTCTGTGCATGCCAGTTTGGAAAAGCTGTGGTCAATGGTCAAATTAGGCTGCACTGACACCGGGATGGCGAAGGAGACCGGAAGAGCACTTATGACGTCGCGCCATTGAGCATACAGTCGCGGCTGACTACTGGGGGCTGTTGATCATTATTACACAAGAGTGAATCTGTAAGGGTATAAATGTCTGAATGGCCAGATGAGTGGAACGGGTAGCGTGGGGGAGGTACACCCACGGGGGTGCGAGAGCAGACGATAGGGACGCCGTGAAAAGGAGGTCAGTGTGGCGACGAATGCGGCGACCGAGCTAATGGGCGTGATCCACAAGTGGGTATTGGGGTAGGGATTGTTATTTCTATGACGGTGTGTCTTACTGCCGACTTACTCGGTACTCCCCCATGAGGGCAGCTGCGTTGGCGAAGGAATCCGAGAGAAGCTTGAAGTGCGCAGCAATGTCCAGGAGGTTGTACTTGGTGGTTTCGGTGCGCGCGAGTTGTGCTTCCGCTTTCCGCATCTCATTTCCCCGTTTCGCCTCGGCTGCCACGAACTTCTCCGGAGCGCTCTCCACCTGCCGCTGCGTTTTGCGCGCCCGCGCACGCCAATGCTGCTTGTCGCGTTCAGGCAGCGTGGACCAGAGGGCCTACCAATTTAGGGGGAGGGGTGGAGGGTGGAGAGAGGAGTTAGCCAACAAGCAAACTTTCACTGCACTACTGACTGTATGAGGAATGAACTACGAAACTGCCAGGTTCATTACAGGGAAATGATTTGCGAGACATCAAAATCTGATAAAGGAACCACTCGATTGTGAATTCAGACTCGAAGATCACAAAAGTCAAAGTTCATATTAAAGCGTCGACGGCAAACTAAGGTCTCGCATAATTGCACAGAAACTAACATTTTTAAGCAGGTATTCCACGCAAACTGGGCAATAGAAATCCAGCAAACACAAAAATCAATCGGCAAATAAAGTGGACTACAAAATGTTCTACGGTAGCTTGGTTTTAAGTTTGACTAATTAGCGGATCTTGTAACAGGAGGGGTGAAAACTGTGTAGGATATCAATAAAAGAAACTAAAACATTGTTCTGTATTCTTTGGATGTTAACTTTTGCCTTCTTTACTTCTGACCAGTTACACAATATAGTCGATAATTACGGGAAATTAGTGCCAAATTGGTCCCCACAGGATCGAATTTTGACTACTTCCAATAGCCAGCCTACCTTTCTGTTCTTTTGTACCATAATTTGATAGAACATGAACCAATTTGAAAAATACTGCATGCAGAGAACCTACTGGACCGAGTTAGCGTTGGCTTTCGTTCTACCGGGATTATTGAGAGGGCCGAAGCGGTGACGATCTCGAAATTAACGCAACCACTGAATGACACTGATGCTCGGTTATATGCCCGGAAAATGTGCCTAGACTCAATAGCTCATGATGTAATTATGCTGTTCATCATAGGAAGAGCATACGGGTAGTCAGGTGGTGAGACTCGTCAGCGACGCTGACCGATCGCTTATTATTTCCAGAAGAGAGCAGTAGTGTGAGTTCAACCTTAAATTGTAGTTATAAAAAAAAATAACTTTTCTTCCAATTTATTCGAGACATGAGAAATTACTAATACCATAATTCTGCATTCTTACCTGCCAGCGTCGGTTCTGCGACTTTTGATCCTGCCCATTGTCATCGTTAACAACACCATACTTTTTTTTCATTACCAAGGTAAACAAGGTATATCCGTTTAAGCGTCGATAAGTCTTCAGTGTCTGAAACCAAAGAATTATGGACACACGTAGTTAATTTTAGTACACCTTGCTACTAAATGTTCAGAAATGTGCACCACAAGAGGGCGAACCCGTCTTCTGATTTAGAAGGCAACTTGAAATTGATTCACAAAAATGTACCTGATTTATTTCTAGATAATACAAGTCTGACGCAACTTAAAGTCTACAAAGCACCAAGTTAAATACGGCCAAACCAACTACCTAACATTGTCTAAAAATAAAATAATATAAAGAGAACGCTGATACCATGAAGCAATGACGGATCATTCCCGAAAGCACTGTTCTTACAGGACTATATGTTAGCTAAAAATATTCTTAACGTAGTCCGAAAACCAAAATACACGGAGAGTAAATTCTGTGTGGTGCAACTGCATTTATTGACACCCAACAAAGCAGTTCACACGGCCACACCAGTAAGGCCAAAAATATGTTCTGGATAAAAGTGCACTACGTCTATGAGGGTAAATATTTTTGTGGATCAACTAAATATGAGCCAATGATCTGCACAAACGCTTCGTTAATTGAGAAATGAATCAAAGAAAAAGAACTGAATGGAAACCTCGAAGTCAAAATCATTCACACCACTGCTCTTCATTTTTCGGCAGCGTTGACCAGTTTTGTCGATGGCAGATTGATCACATTCCAAGGCGGGGAAGAGAACATCATTTGAAGGAAGTGGAACTGAAAGATGTGAAACAGACGGTATAACACCAACTCGGTGCGTCAAATGTACATATGCACGTTTTCTTAAAACATGAAAACTCACCGTCTGTAGGCAACGTAAACACCGGAAGAGACATATCAATCGGAAGAATAGGTCGCTTCCTTGGAGATGGCAGAGCCTAAAAAGATTGAGCAAGTACAAATACGTTCGCTTTGACAAATGAAAATTTTTGACTCACTGAACTGATCTCAGGCAGTCGATACGAAGGGACATTCTCATCCCACTGGCGAATGGGTTTTGAGGGGTGGACCTTAATCCGACCACGAGGTCGACAGACTCGTCCCCGACCCCTTTGGACATTCGAACCAAATTCATCAACATCTACGTGAGGAGCTGACGGAAGGGATCCAGTACTGCGTCCCAAAACTGCACCAGGAAATGGTAGTCCGCAGGCGTCATCTTCCAGACCAATCTGTCGGAGACGCCCGTCTTCCCAAACAAGCGGACGGGGAACCATTCCACGCGCACGAGCAACACCGTACCCCCGTCGATAAATTGGTATTGTACCTCGAGAGGGAACTTTTGGTGGAGGTGAGGATGGCGTTTCTGCCTTTTGTACTTGAGTATCAGTGTCCTGTAGTTTTACAGAAATGCAAAAACGCTAAAAATCAGATATTGAACTACAACGAATCAAATAAGTAAAACTAAAAAGGTTGAGTACAGTCAATGTAAAACACGCAACGAAAAAGCATGCTTATGGAATTATTAGTGAATAGACATAACAAAAAAATTAAAATAAAATGCGCGATTTACCATCAAGGTATAGGGTAAATGCAATCACTGTTACACGTAAATTTTAAACAAATGATAAAAGGTGAACATCTTTAAAAGAGTGCGTACAAAACTTGATGAGGATACCAGAGGACTTAGCCAGGAATAATATTACTGCCCATAAAAATGATTTGCGCAAAAATTCGGCGTTATCACAGCAGCGATGACGAAAACGCTTAAAAATCAAGGCCCCCATAATCGATGATAAATACCACTAAAAAAACAAAAATGATCTACGATGATAAATAAACGAAAAACCTGGCTGACAGCTCAAAATGGTATTTTAGAGAAGGATGTCGTTGACAGCTTATTTCCGCACACCGAACAAAGCTTTGGTTCAGAACTACAGAAATAATACATCCCGTAAATTGGTAGTAAACAGCAGATGGCATTCCACGATTACTGGGCAAGGCAATGACCAAACAAAAATTAAAATTTAGATTAAAATTATAGCAAAATAGATTGGTGTATTACTAGTCAGGGGGAATAAGAAGCGACGTTCAGAAGAGATAAAGATAAAGTGCGGTAAAAGGGCAATCCTAAACAAAACGCGCAAAAACGTGGCCGTAACTTTAATAAACCACTGCATAGTGCCAAACCATGCAGCAAGCCAAGCTCGAAAAAAAAACACTTAATGACAGATAACCGTTGATAAATAATCTCAACGTGAAAACGTAAAGGACGATCAAAATGCAAAAATATTTAACATTTTCGACATTAATTAAAGTAATAAGCAAAGTATCAGTTAAATTTTGACAATGACAATAAATATTGAATACAAATTAAAGAAAATACAACCCCCGGAAAGTAGTCAGCAGGTGACGACGCCATATTGATGATAAAGATGCGTATGAATGAACCAATCAAAACAGCGCAAAAATTAAAAAGAGATGCACAGAAAAATAGCTTGCAAATGGTATGAATGAATAGCAGGAAACTGTGCTTATTGATTGCCTCGAAGTTGCCTTCACGGATGGCAACAAGATCTTTTCCTCAGACCCAACCTCCGGCGAATTCACCCAACACTCTAACTTACATCCACTTTCCCAAGCTTTCTGGTCTGGTAGATGTCTGAGACCTCCTGTCTGGTATAATGACTCGGAATAGCAATGTCCGAGTACTCACCGTATTTCACAGCCAAATCCCTTCTAAGGGAACTTTTGTAGTGTATTGTCAGGAGATTTTGAAAGCAGATAGTTCTAGGGATGATTAGTGTCATTAACTCATGCTCAAACTACATTGGTAGATTTTCACAAATGCTCAATAATAACGTTCACGCACCCTCACGCAATCACACACCTGCTTGACCCAACGCAAAACACCGGTAGTATCCACTGGTGCTTCTCTTGTCTCTGTTCTCCTATTGTTACTAGCTGTTAACCACTTGGGTCATAGTGCAAGCTAAGCACTACATGTTTCCCAGGTGTGTCCAGTTATCTGGACGATGTCATCAAACATTACTAGCATATAAAAATAATTTTGCAATCTCACCGTAAATTGACCTGTCATATCTTTTATGATGCAAGTTAAACTAGGACTGATTTTCACTCCTCAATGTCAAAAAACCTAGCTACACTTATGGCTCTATGGACGGTAAAGAACGGGACTGTACAGGCAGAATCAATCCCACATTTGCTGATCTTAGTTAAAGCAACAACAAAACGTTTTTTCTGCACAATAGTTGACTCTACGGGAAAAAAAATTGGTTCACATCATCGGTACATAGAATCTCCGCCAAATTTCAACCATAGGATTCCAACGTTCAAGTACTGTTCGTGCAAATCTGGGCTCGCTTCCACGCACAGGTGAGGTCACAGTTCCCGTGTACTCTAGTGCTTTAGCACGGGTACAAGTAGAGATTGCAACCGATGCGGTTGACCCTCGGACAAGCTGAAGACTTACACTCTTTCAGTGACAACTTGCTCAAACAAATACCATTTACAACCTATTACTTCAAGCATCGATTTAAGTGAGTGGTCGCACTTGCGGCATTAACACCTTTTGATTGGTAGTAATAGACGCTACATCAAATTCAAACCAAGTGTCTGCCGACCAATACAAACGCTACTCTCTCGGTACGGAGTATCAACACGCTACTTGAAGGACTGGCAAATATAGCCGTTACAGCTTGCGAACGCCGCTCCCATGGAGCAGGACACAGACACAATAAACTTGACATGAGAGAACGTACCTCTTGCCTATCAATAAGGATGGGAAAGTTGTCTAGCGGACGGCCACAACGACAACGCCCGTCCTGATAACGCCTGGGAAGCCGATCAGGAGGAGAATTTAATCTAGGTCCCCAGAGACGATGCTGCTAACCTCATCATTTGGTTTTCCTCATGGGACAAGTTTGAGGGCTTAGTACAAAACCAACTGCATTACATCCCTTTCATCTCATGTAAATCAACGACCCATTCATTGAGGCTGCGACGGTTCCCACGTCTTCTACACTCCCTCGACATAGTTGGCAAGGTGGCTTAGATTATTTACACCGGTAATGCCTATCCAAACAGAGATTAAGCGTCCTCATAAATCCAGAGGTGGTACTTCGTTTAAACCACGGCATGCATTCAGCGAAAAATGCTCAATTTGCGTTTGCCGGAAGTATTGGTCTGTCAAGCAAATCATGTCTTGCTAATAACAAAAGTCATGACACCCTGTGGTAAGGAAGAGATTTCACGGCAAATTTATGACCACCTCTCATGACGCCTGAAACCGCATCGGTCGGGGACCGCAATTGCACATTACCAAGTATATATCCGCGTATGATGTTTGAACACACTATGCCAATGCAAAAATTGCTCATTGATGAACCCTCGTACTAAAATCTAAAGTACTCAAGTCACGAAAATTGCTCCTGTGTAACCATAGAAAATCCAGTGTGAAACCCAGACCTTCACCTTTTGGACCTCCAAAAATTGTACACAAAACACGAAAATCGAATTCAATTCACCTGATTTACAACCAGATACTCCTTGTAATACCTCCGCCCAAGATTGCGACCCAGTCTTTGTAGGAACGTGAGGCCTCGTTGGTGTATGGAGTTTAAGGCGCCATGTGTGTGTACTGCGAAGTCTACAGACAGCCAATTCAAGCACATAAATACAGACGACAATTTGCCAGTAGACAGAGCCTGCATTGGCACGATGTGCCCGAAATTCCCGACATGTCCATTGCCTCGTAAGCGCGTTAACCCGATGCAAATGATTACACACAAGTGCGAAGTGGGAGTTAGAGCAATTTGTAGGATGTAAGTCCTAGAATGAGTAGTATTGTGCAATTGGAGTTATGCTGTTATCTGCGGACGACTTTGAACCTTCGCATCCACAGGATGACTATCGCCGTCATTGTTCATGACCACGTCTAATTATGCGAAAAGGAATAATCACTAGCACCATTGGAACTACGAACTGCCCACAGACGAGCTGCAAACAAACAAAACCTACAGCGACACGGGGCGTGTCATCGTAGACGGAGCCACGTGATCCGACTGACCGGGTTTCGCACACCCACAAACCCCCCTCTACTCACGTACCCAAGCATAGTCCCCGCGACGGGAATGTCGCAGCACCATCGCACGCAGACTGAGCACACCAGCGGTAAAGCCCGAGTAAGGCGTCACGATTGCGTTAATGCGGGTCCCACGAGCACCAACGAAGCGGCACCATGCGTGTTTCACGCACACTAGAAACCGGACGCAAAACCTAACAACGAGGCACGCAGCTTGAAGCGGAACGCGACCACCTGGCGCTACCGCACTCCGTGGACGTCGTCACCCCGCGCACCCTAACCACCTACGCCACGCACTCACGCTCACTGGGCACAATCTAACCACCACTCACCTACCGATGGATACGTCAGTGATGCGGACAACCGTGGCTAAATCACAGGCCAAACGGATGCGCATTCCAACGGAAATTTCGGCGCGGCCACGCACCCTATTCATCAGCAGCTCCAACAGACCGTGGGAACCCTTGTCCACCTTGACGGGACGACTAAGGCCCAAAAACATCACTGCCCAAAACCTCGGATGAGCGATCCAACCATCCACAACCGGAAACACCGACACCGACCGCGAGTGCAGTGTCCGGTGTCACACACCAACTAGACGATTCGCGACTTCAGCGCAACCCAACCCCAGCCACCAGTAAGCCCAGACTCAACAAGATGATGATATGTAGAATCAGTTTATTCAAAGCCCCATCACGCTGAATACACTACACGGCCCGTGGCAACCTAAAAGCAAATTTGGCACTTTAGGAAAGTGAATCAACGGTAAATCAGCAAACAGAAAAATATCACTGGTCAAAAACACGGACCATGTTATCATCGCATACCTTCTTTGTTATTACTGACAAGGCCAAATGCCTGGAGCGAGACTGTTGACAAGCGCTACCTCATATTGCGCACATCTATCACTGAGCACGAGTCGGCGACACTCGGTGTTCAGCGCGTCCCTCTCTGCTCTGCGGAAGCCAAAGACGCATCGACTGCATGTGGCCCTCCACAGCCTATTCATCTACGCGTTCCACTGAAGGCAACACCAGTTATGTCATTTACTGATCTGTACGACCGACAATACAAGAAAAAGGCCACTTACCCTTCTCACTTATTTACAGAAAACGCACACCGAATTCTGATTGGAACCGGGAATGTTGCTTCGTACTCAAACGACTCGACGACTTCCGTCACCTAAGCGCACAGTAATTTAGTTGTAACAAACACGAGGTCAGAAAGACTAATCAACGATCACATTATCAATTAAGGACACGTGTCTCATCAATCAGGACTCACTCTTAACTCTCCCCATCGTCGAGGAGAACAAACAAGTAGCGGAAGTAAAACAGCCCACGCGAGAACGCACGCGACACATGCGTCCGAACAAGACAATTTAAACAAATGGATTTCACGAAGTCAGTCTAATGTGGTTGCGCCATGTTTCAGCTCTAAACGCATTTAGGCCTTTCCTTGCCTTTATTCGGATAGGTAGAGCACAGTGGGACAAACTTCAAATAGATTGGAGCAGAAATTGTTTGAAGATAATCAGCACTCCTTTGAGTGCTTTTGCAGATTCGGTTAAGCATCTGCAATATACAATAAAAAAGACAAAACTAGTAAGCATGTGCCACAAGCACAAGACCCTCTACATTGTTTCACCCTAATTATATGTATAAACGGATAACCAAGAAGTCCATGTCAAATTTGTGCGTACTTCTACAAAAAAAAAACAAAATTTTGACCAAATTTAGAAGGACAGCTGTACATGGTAGAAATTTGATAAAGCTAGCATAACTGGCAACTGATTGTCTATTGAGGCCATTACCAGAGTCGCACTGTACTTGAGAAAACTTTAAAGGTCAAAGTCCTAAACACGAAAACTGAGTCGAATAGTTGCAAAATTCAGCAGAAATTTTAACCTTTTGCTTCATCCTTCTTTTGGTATATTCTTTTTTCTTAATTCCTTAAGTGACTTGTCACTTTTATGACCTACAATTTCACTAATTTCAGTAAAAAATATTTCTGATCGCGTGTAGAAACTTCGAAGGACAGGAATTCTGGTTATGCCTGCACAAGCTTTAGTACTGCAGTGATAAAGCATTCAATAGTGTTACTGTTTGCACATTCACGACTTTTTCTTGAGTCTAGACGACGTATCAGACTTTTAAAGACTAGACCTTGTTTCGTATTTTTGCAGGATAGCCTTTGTCTCAAGAGACACCCAAAACTGCTGTTATTAATCCAGTTTGGTTAGTTGAGTTCTTACAAATTCCTTTTGGTATACTTTACGAAGTCCAGGCTTCCAGCAAATCGTGGACCAGATTCTGCATGTTCGTGATTCCATCTTTGCCTGTGTCGATTATTTTCCTACTGCCAGCAAAGATAGCGACGAACACTTGCTGCATCTGCGATAAGTGTTAACCCGTCTGGAGGCCTATGGCATTATATTGCACCCTCAAAAGCGTGTTTCTGCAGTGAACAATGTTGACTCTAACTGAGAAGACATTAGCGACTGTGGCATCTCCAGTGCCAGAATCAATCTGCAGTTTGCGTCGCGTTCCATGTTTGATCAACAACTACATGTTTCACTCCCCAGGCCATGGCAATTTTTCCTCCACTAGCTGATTTGTTTCAAGAGAATAACGAGAAATCAACGCTTACTAAGGAGGCTGAAACAGCATTCAAAGTTATAAGGCATGCTATAGTAAATGCCACAAACTTGTACTACCAAATGGAGGTAGCAAATCTTGTCTGGCTGAGGGACACTTCCTTAACTGCTGTCAGTGCTTTCTTTCAACATGAATTTCATGCTCATATTGAGCTATAATAGATCTTTTCCGGTAAACTTAAACCAGTTCAGACCCGTTACAACACATTCTCAAGAGAACTTTAGCAACTTACCATGCTGGGAAACAACTCCGTCGTCGACTGGGCTGATGCGAGATGATCATTTTGCCTATCACAAACCATTGAATCATGCTTTTCGCGTACTATCTGACCACGCTTTCTCAACGCACATTTAAATATCTGGACTATGAGAGGAGACATTTATGAGACTGACAACATTGCGGTGGAAGCCCTCCGTCGAAAATATATTCATTATTTTCAGTTCCTGGCGTCGACTTCAAACAACTAGCTGCAGTGCAGTCGAATGACGCTGAATGACAAGAACTTTGTCAAAAGAGTGGGCTAAACCTGGAAGAACTACTAATTTCTCCCTGTTCTATGGGAATCACGTGTGGTATGTCAAGTGACAGGTCTCGCCCTCATGTTCCTGCCTAATGTATAGAGTGAACATGTGGTCGTCTTCACTCGCTTTTACATCCTAGCCTTTGCTCTGCGATGCGCTTGAAAGCAGAATGCTTTGTTTGGCCTGGCGCTTGCAAAGATATCCGTCTATGTGCCAAGCACTATATTCTATGTCAGTGTAGTAAGGTACACTAACAGATTACATCGCAAACGGGTCGTGTTCTCCTCCTGGACTCACGCCTCCGACCTGTACATGTCGATGTATTTGGACATTTTCCGCTATGCCGCAGATTTAGCCATTTACACAGCTATGTGTACCATTAGTCAAGCATTTATGGTACCGTCATTCGGTGTTCCCGGTTCTTTTACCTCTGAACACAGTGTGTAAGTCACATCTTTTAACAGACTTTTAACGGCCTTCTTAGACGCAAATATCTCTTACTGCAACTTGTCACCCAGCATCCAATGGTCTGGCCGAGTATTTCCACCCCCGGTAAAAATAAATTACAATTGTACATGCTGCAGTTGTTAACTCATCAAACGCATTCCCACGTAAGAAATCACTTACTTCACTTTAGCAGAACTTGTTTCCTGTAAAACTCTGAGTCTACCGGTTTAAATGAACCCAAATAATGTCGACCATATCAAATTCCTGTTGTCAACGTGCGTCGATTATTTGAAGTGCTTTACGATGAAACTGCAACGCGTTCCAACTAGGGCGTTCTCACGACAACTACATTAGCAACTCGAATTGCTTTCAACCCCTAGCGTCTTTGTTTGTGTCAATAGCGCCAAGAGATATCTGTTGGGAGGCCTAATATCACGAGTTACCCATCAAAGACGAAGTCGGTTGAAAGACAGCGAGTCAAAAATTTATTCGAGGACATGACAAAGACGTGGTTTTTTTGTGGGGTTCGTGCGTGTGTATCTATAGCTTGGATGTGTGAGTCATAACTGCGCCAACATCGAGATCTAGGTGTGAGGTTAATCCAAGATACATATACGTGTGAATGAAGGAGGTAGTTGAGGCTTTGCGTGGCTGTTGCCATGCCGCGAGAAGGGGAGCCTTGTATCGGAGGCGAATCGATCGGATTAAGGAGTTGATTAATCACGATTCACAACAGCTCTCCCCCTTAGCGATAAGATTAGGCAGAAGTTGTCATCCGCTGAGGTTTTTAGGAGGTAGGCCGTAGGTTTTGCACGATTGTGATCTCTCCGTCGAAGGACCTGGAAGGTAGCTTAAAAAAAATTGGGATCGAGAAGTACAGCACGCCACGCGCGATTGACAGTATCCTATCAGTCCTGCGGTTGTCTTCCTTTCAAACTGAATATCGATCAAGCCAATGAACTCGTCTGCCGGAGCGTGTCGTGGTTACAGCCTTTTTATTGTCGTGATAGACGGGATTCGGTTGTATCTGAGGCTTATTGTTTGGCGAGGTCTCCATGTCGAGGAAGGCTGACTTGAGTCGTCTTCTTTCCCATCGTGGTCGATGGTGAAAACCTTTTCTTCTCGTCTGAGCACTCTGAAAGGTCCATCGTAGATGGGCTGAAGTGGTTGACGAACTGCATCGCGTCTGATGAAAACGTGGGTGCATGTAGGCAAATCTTGCGGGGTGAACGAAATAGTGGACTGTAGGCACGGCTGTGCAACTATCATCTTGTTCATAGTCTCCCGTAATCGCTCGACGTAGTTGCATGGGTCTGGCCTTGTTGGTTGTGAAGTCGCGGTGAAAAACTGCCCAGGTAGTCTTAATGTTGTTCCTAAAACCATTTTAGCAGAAGAACACTTTAAATCTTCCTTGATGGTTGATCGGAGTCCGAGTAATACGAGGGGTAACGCGTCCGTCCAACGAGATGGGTCACTGTGTGCTGTTAAAGCTGCCTTCAGTTGTCGATGAAAACGTTCTACCATGCCGTTTGATTGTAGGTGGTAGGCCGTTGTTCAAATGCGGTTCGTCCCCAAAAGTCGTGTGAGGTTTTGGAACAGGCTTGATTCAAACTACGTTCCTCGATCTGTGGTGATAGTTGAGGGAACTCCGAATAGGGCGATGCATCTGTCCACGAACGTTTTTGCGACGGTTTCGGCCGAGATTTCTTGCATTGAGAATGCATCTTGTCATCGGGTGAAGCGGTCGACACAAGTCAAAAGATAACGGAAACATTTCGAATGCGGTAAGGGCCCAACAATGTCAAAGTGCACGTGATCGAACCTAGCGTCGGGAACGCTAAAGCGTCCTAGAGGAGTCTTGCTGTGTTTGTTCACCT